GAACTCTGGACCAGAGGGGGCTTGACTGAAAGCGAGCATTCCAGGTCCTTGTGCAGCTGTGTTTAGAGCTTTTGCAGAGTGCGACACGTATGTACCGAAGCCGCTGTTGGCTGGAACCGGAGCAAGGTAAACAGGGTGTGGCGCGCGTGCTCGCGCATTTCTGTGCAGCTGTCAGATTTCACTATAATAAGATTTATTCCTGGCTGTTTCGCCCAAGCTTTGATTCTGGACACCGTGATGATTTTCGGTAGGAGGATCGCGAGAAGAAGCTGTTGAATGCCTTTTGTTCGGCAGCCCGCTAGGGTCATTGCACGCGACTTTCAAGAATTGTTGCCACGAGCTGGTTCAGTGGCTAGGTGCCCTGCCGCGCAGCGAAGGTGCAAACCTCAGGGGGAGATGCGAAAACAGAAGTACGATGCATGAGATCCACTGTGTATGTGTGTCGATGAGCGGCATCGACACAGATGCGAGGAGAGGATCCCGTGCTGTCAGCATTGCAGAGATATCGTGAAGCAGCTGGGAGCACCTTTCATCCGCTCAGTGAGGCGTGTGGTGCTCTTGTTGATCGCTGTTCTACCTGTTGTGCGCTCGCAGGTGGAGGAACCAGACGACCAGGCCCTAGCGGCTCACGGACGAAGAGACCAGGCAGGCGAAAGCGAAAGCGAACGAAGCTGTCAGGCGCCCTTCGAGGACCTCGTGCAGAGGTTCGCGGCCTTGGGGATTTGGGGGCTCTGGAAATTGTGCCACCGAGCAAGCAATCAGAGGGCCTAAGCAAGTGCACATGTTCCAGCCCAGTTGATATGTGAGTCAGGGGCATCAGCACTTTGCAGCAGGTTTGCTGCGCGCTCCAGCCCGTCTGCAAGCTCCAGCAGCAGTCCGAAGGCAGTCCGCATTGTGCAGCCTCAACCTGTTCATGTTGTGCCCAACTTGTGGACTTGTCAGTGGCCCTGGGGTACCATTGAATTTGTAAGTGCTAAGGCAGTGTCGGCTCATGCCACTGAAACGGTGAAAGCTGGCACCCGTGTGCTTCAGAACTCTTGTGATATCGCCAGTGCCATCGTCTGCCTGTGCGCCCGTCCGAGTTCCACGGCCTGCAGGACTCGAGGGATGAACTGTTAACTGTTCGTGGTGCTGGAAGATGTTTGAAGATGCTCGCTAGAAGTACAAGCAGCGGAGGGCTGTAAACGTGCAATCTGTAGGAGGATGTCCGCAATGCAGCTGCAGCCTTAGTCGACAAGAACCTGCAAGCACTGTGTTGCAGAGCCTGCCTCTGTCGATTCGTTGAGTCCGCGCTGCGCTCGCAGGTCTGTGGTTTCGGAACCTACGGAGACTTGCGTGACTTCTTGCCAACCTGGTTGAGCTGGACCGGCTGTGAGCCTTGTACCTTCAGCCTTTGCCGCCTTCCTCCGCAGGATGAGCCCTTGGTTGGAGCCCGCTGCGTAGGGACCCAAGCTTGGGGCGGAGCCGGAGCCGGAGCCGGGGCCAAGAAAAGCGCCCTCCCTTTTGCCTTTCAGCCGAGGCCCGAGCTTTGTGGTCTTCCGAGCGGGCCGGGAAAACCCGGGTTTCTGGTCGGAAGCAAAACGAGCCAAGAAGCTCAGCTCGGAGCCAAAAGGAGCCAAAAAGAGCGCTGGCAGGCAGTTCAGGGGCGCGGGCGCGAGCGGTGGCATGCACTGACCTCACTCCGCACCGTTCCTCGCGAGCCGATCTGTCAACTGACCCCAAGACTGTTCTCAGGACACCGGCCGATAGTCCCAGATGCGCCAGCGAGGTTGGCTTCGGCTTCGTCCATCGAGTTCACCCGTTTCCGCTCACGCTCTCCATCACTCCTACTAGCCTACCACACCCGCACCTAGAAGCTGGAAGAGCTCAAAGAGCACACTTTGTTTTGTTTCAGTCTCCTTCCCCTCGGTGGCAGGCAGAAGACAGCAGCACACCAGTGGTGGTTCCAGCTTCCTTCTCATCAGGCTGGCACCAGTCTTGAATCGGCATGTAGGGTCTCCACATCGCATCACGAATCCCTAAAGTGGTTGACACAAGTTAGCGTCGCATTCAGCGTGTTCAGGCATCAAGCAAGTCGGACTCCCCTCGCCACCAGTTTCACAGGCATCGTGCTCAGATTTCGAGACTACAGCACGTGTAATTAGGCCATGAGGGCTTGAATTCGATGATTTAAAGGACATGTCCGTCATGCACTTCAGGCTTTCAAAGTGTTTCTTACCTTTACTTTTCGCAGCTTCCTCCAAAAAAAACCTGCGGAGGCCAAAGATGGGTTGAGTCGGCCACGTGTTCGCCGGGCCCTGGAGGCCTTAGCCTTTCCCTGTGGTCTCTGACTAAGTCCTAGAGCAAACGTAGGCAACTTGCTCCTAGTGCTTCGTTTCGGTTCCCTAATCTTTACCCACCTTATGATTGAGATCGTCAGGCCATTCGTGAGCTTCCGGATGGCTTGCGCTGGTGGCTCAGAAACTTCCGTCTGATAAAGGCTAGGCATTAACATCTGCAAGTGCCTGCAAAACAAGGATCGAGTACATTTGACGACCTGGTGATTCCGGAGGAAGTAGAGCAAGTTGTACCCTAGCTGTTTCTTTGTGCAGTCTTCTTCTCACTTGTGTTTAGCAGCCCGGTATGCAATCCCCAGGTGCTTGGGCCCCTGCCGGACTGTGCGGAAGAGGGGAGCGATACCGAGTTCCAGCACGGCAAAATCAACGCTTTCTAGTTACCCTTGCTTCCTGTTTGCCGAGGCTGGAGATCGGAGGCGTCTTTTTAGACTATTCGGAGGGCTGGGGCTTGGGCAAGGTCTGCCAAACCCTCAGCACCGTTTGCGCAGGATGCTGCATCTCGTGCCTTAGCCGATCTGAGGCCAAGGGCTTGTGGGAGACAAGACCGCCGCTCTCGTGGTCCAGTTACGCCGAGATCTTAGAGATGCCCAGCGACTGTTTTTCACACCACCCCGGTCCTGTGGCCCCTGGTCTGTGTGCAGGCCTTCCAAAGCCTTTGAACAACGGGCAGATGCGGCGGCTAGGTGCAGCATGATAATCTGGATTGAATTGGCATTTTGGTAAAACATATTGTCTCTTTTTTTCTCTATCTGTGCATTTATGCACTTATGCAGGCGTGTCGCTTTGATTTTGTGGTCAGATGACAGAAAAGTTCACCACGCTGGATCACTGCCAACGAAGATGCCCACATTTCTTGTCGACGCATTGGAAGATGTCCTCACACTGCAGTGCTGCTTGTGACAGGAAATGTGGTATCGTCATCTGTAGTTTAATCTGTATTGTGTTCAACATGGACGTTGGTACCCTTTCCAGAAGGTGTTCTTGCAGTTCTCCTGGTTAGCAGATAGCTAGCGATGATGGCAGCCGTACGTTCACATGCTCAATGTTTACATGTTGGAGCAATGAATACCACATGTTGCGTTGTTGAACCTGTGCGTGACGTGTTCTAGAGTTGTGAGAGTCTTCATAGTAGCCAACTCTCCGGTCCCTCATGTATTCTACTGATATGTTCATTGTTTGATTACATGAAGATTGGATGGCATGGATCATTGCTGATCAAGACTACCTGAGCTCGCCGACCAAACATGCTTCCAATGCATGTGCGTACACATCTGTCGAATACGAGTTCGTCAACTGGTATCGTTCTTCCCGCACAGACCCTAGAATTATTGGCTTTGCCGCTGGCAGTACTATGCTACGAGATAGACTGAAGTTCCGCTGCCTAATGCGGCCGCGGACATGCGATGCCTGTCGTGTTACGGCTTCTCTTGCTCAGAGACATGAGCAGATCCGCCGGCGACCTTTAAAGTGCTTCCGGGTCTTCGGACGCCAAGCGCCCACACTGTATAGGAAAAGTGGAAACAAGTGAGAGGGCACAGAGAAGCAGCGTGGCGCGAGGCGCCGCGCTGCGGCGAGGGGCGCTGGAGGCCCGCTCGGCCTTGGCCTCGGATATCCTCTTAGGGAAAGCTCCGTTTTGGGGGGAGGTCTCTCTGTCTCTCTCTCTTTCTCCCTCTCTCTTTCTCCCTCTCTCTCTCTCTCTCTGTGTTTCTCTCTCTTTCTTTTTCTCTCTCTCTCTCTCTCTCTCTATATATATATATATATCTACACACATATACATATCATATACAGATACATATATATATATATATGTATATATATATATGTATACACATACACACACA